CTGATGAGAGTTCGAGATTGGACCGAAGCAGGAAAATAGCCATTGTGAGTGAGTACAGGGACTATTACAGGACTTGAGACCCCGAGTGCACACTAGGAGTCATTCATGGGCAGGAACACTCTCATGTTGTCGTTTTGGTCTATGAAGGGGTGTTTGATTCGCGTTTGACTGTCGCTGATGAATCTGGTTGGTGTGTTTGGAAGATTGCTGAGGTCAGTGATATAGGCACAATGCAAAGTGCCTTGGACTGAAGAAACCGCATGGCAGGTCCAATGTCTTCTTCCATCAGATTAGCCACTTGCTGTTCAGTTCCACCATTTGACCATTTCTGCCAAGCAGGCTCGCTTCCACCTTCTTCACCATCTCCCTATTCAAAGAAAGACGTAATATCAAGGAAAATAAAACTTAGAAAACACGGCAGATCTGAAAAAAGGCCAAATACTTGGTCCAGTTAATAGATTCGTAGAAAACGACCTGTCAAATGTACATGTATGGAATCCCAGTGTACAACAATGCATGGGACTCGAAAATAATGCATATTTATAAATTACGAAGTGATCTAGAGATTATGTTTTCAGGCATACTTGATAGCTTAGTGGCTAATCATGGAAATTTGCGTGCTCAGTACTACATTTTGCATAATTTCGTAAAGCAAGATTCAGAATTATGATTCTTCTATATGCAGTACTTCAACGGATGTTAGGGTACATCGGCAACAAGCTGAGCCACAGCACCTGCTGCACCAAGTCTGCTCATGCTCAAAACCCGTTCAAATAATCAATGAAATTGATGAAATGTAGTGAAAGCAATTGATAACAGAAATTTGTTGTTTGACAAAAGAATTAACAGTAATCTAGTTCACATTCTTTATGATTCCAAGAACAATAATGCAGTTCACATTCATTACTATTCGATAATGACTTATTTGTAATTTTGAGATTCCGACACCAGACAAGAGTCGATTCAATCTGACATTACAACTACCACACATAAAGGAGTGCCTTAAGGTCCTCATAGATGTCTAGGATTCAGCATGGGGTCCTACATGAGATAAGAACTTGCTAAAGACTTTTGGAAGACATTAATGGACTGCTTAAAATGAAATCTGAGAAGATATTTGCAATTGAAGTATCTTTAAAATGATTCCTTTCTTAACATATTGAGATATTTAACAACAAACATTTGAAATCCGATGAATGTTTAACTAATCAAGATTCAAATTGAGATTTTAAATGTTAATACCTTGACTTGAAGTCTTAGAAACTTCACGTAATCTAAAATCTCATCAAGCATGGCTGCCCTATCTGTCTGCAGAAGATTTAAAATTGCATCAGCAAATATATATGGAAATCCAATGTCAATAGGATTCTCTATCATATCATTCTTGCACAGTAGCACTAACTCCATGGATTTCATAAAAAAAAATGGAAAATTTTTCATGATCTCATCTTGCCACGTAAAATTCATGCAAATGTGACAAAACTCGGGGCAGAGGAGAACCTTTGGCTCGGTCAATAAGCAAAAGCAATAAAAACATTCCACTCTAATGCAGAAAAACAGCATTCAGCAGGACAGAAAACAAGTTGGTTTATTTTACTCTTCATATACCAGGAAGAAGAATCAAATTGGAGCAGCAAACAAGTACACAAAACATCTATGAATTATGCAAGCCGATGCAAACCTTGTTGCAGCTAGGAACTAATTCCTGCAAAGCTTTCATTCTTTCGGCGATTCTATCTCTTCATAACTGCACTCACAGAAGGGCATGGAGGGAGGGGGAGAGGTGCGAAAGCATGTAAGTAAAGAGTGAAAAGTAATAAAAAAATAAAAGATAAGGACTAAATAAAAAGAACAGATTACCATAATTCATTTAGTCAAAAAGGAAGGATTATCAAAGTTCATACTAAGACCATTCTAAGTATCTTGAATCAAGAGGAACTAAGCAGCAGCTCGTAAAAGAACTTCTAATATGACAGAAGCCCCATGTTATATCATTCCTGCTTTATGAAATAGAAATCAAGTTTTTACCCGCTCGGCAATACTGTGGGGATCCGTTGCCTGTCCCCGTCTTGCTTGCACCCTTGGACAGATGGCAGGCGGGTGCGGTGCAGCGGAAACTGGACCTGATGTTGGCTGGCTATGAAATGGCTGCATCAGGATGCAATAGATTATGCAATCAAATTACTGAAGTTAACGTAAAAAAAGAAAAAGATCAGCTTTCTAACGTATCAAAAGACATATCCAAAGAATACAGAATACTCGATCCTTCAGTTAAACAGGCAATGAGCTTTGATGATATGATCACCAGTTAAGTTAATAGCATCTCAATCAATTCAAAGAAAGAAAAGCTAAAAATGTCAGAATCACAACTCAAAGTGTGCATAACATATTAATCATCATAAATAAATTAGTGAACTTCAAATCCTTTTTTACGTATGGCTCACTTGCCTATTTTCATTATATCATATCTTCTAAGTCTAAGACAATCCGAAGAGCAGGATTCAGGTAAGAATAAGCACAAAGAGCACATAACTAATAGTGCATGGCACCCCAAGAAACTTTCATTAAGGATTCATGGGGTTAAATTTCAGCATCCAGCTTCCTAAAGCTGATCAAGACTCAAAACAAGGCGAATCAAATCAAGGGTACTTCTATATTTTCTTATGAACTTAATTACAGATTTTAGCTTGAAATCGAATAAATCTAACAAGTACTTGCATAAGTTGGTAATGCCACACTAAAATAATCACAACTTTTACTTTAAAATTTCCAAGCCAATGAAAAACGGCACGACCTTGATCTTCTAATAGGGTCAAGTAGGCCAAAACGACCCTTTTTTCATAGTTGGAGGGCCAAAAGAGTGTTATGCCAATGAAAACCTCAAATAACTTAGGAAATCAACGAACTAAGAAATTCTGTTCCTAAAAATAATGCAAAAAAATCTGCAAACTAAAAATAACATAAAGATATAAAAATGGCTTTACTTTGACCTGAGCCATTTCTTCAAGTAACAGGAAAACCGAAGTCAAATGAAGCGCTTCTTACACACGCTCTTGTTATCAAACACTTAAAGCGCGTGGGAAATCTATTTCCTGACAAAGATCATCACTACAAACGCTGAGAACGACCCCTCAAGTTCCCTTTCGTATAGCATGATATGATAATATTAGTTACAGAGTTCCCCCGTACGTGTGGAAAAGTCACACGTGCACCATTCTGTTGTGTACTGGTGTCAGTAATTCTCCCCTTTCACTCCACTCTCCCATAAAGAGCGTGCAAAGCATGAATATGTCTAACAAAAATTAAATACAACCCTAATGAATAGACCCTTGATTTTTCCAAGAATTTCAAATATACCCATGACCTTAATCACACAGAACCGTACAAAAAGGGCAAAATTTACAGTAAACACTTAAAAGAAAAAGAGAACATAAAGGCTCTTCATTTATTTTTTATTTTTTAAAATGATATTAATTATATATTAATTACGTGTTAGTTATATCAATATTTAAATATTACATCAAAATTATTTTAATAACATTAAAAATTAAGATATCTTAATATACAAAATTAAAATTTTTTTATTTAGATATTATGTTAAAAAATGTACAATAATTCATCGATCAAATGAAATATTATCCCTTTTAAAAATAAACAAGAAAAAAAATTGATAGTAGGCCAGCTCGCATGGAAGAGCGTGGGAACAGTTAATCAAAGAATACAAAGAATTCAAATGAGGTAATTTAGAGCAATATGTGTTTCCTTTCCTTTGTCGTATACTTGTATTATCATTCTATGTAATTTATGTTGAGTGACACACTAGAATCCAAATCACCAGAGGTACCTTTTAAAGGATGTGTTATCCATACAATGCAAAACTAAAAGAAAGATTTTGATATATTAATTTGATTTAAGTGTTGTTATTATTAATTTTATTTTTATGGCCCTCACCTACTTTTTGCCCCATCCCTTTTCTAAACTAAAATTGGATTATTGAAATTTAATAAATGGTATTCAATTTCAATAATATCCTCTAGAAGATCCACTTAATGTGTCATTAGGGTCTAAGTTAGTGTGATTAATTAACCAATAATGCTCAATTTCTTTTGTCTAATCAAAGTAACCCACCCCTAATCTTAAATTGGGTATTACTATTTTTGTTCTTTGGTAAGTTCATAATTCAAAAGTTAAAAATATTTTTAGTGCAAATTCTAAATTTAATCCAATCACTCTATGCAATTATATTTTAAAAATGACAATCAATAGGTTTAAATTTTAATATTTTTAATCCATATTTCTAATAGTTGTGCTACGATATCTTTTGTAAAAAAACAATATATATTTAATCATTTCCTAACATGTGATTACCCACCTAATTTAAAAAATTTAAAAGCCTATGCTAAGGATGGGGCATATTGTAAGAAAAAACAATGATTATTGGTTAGGGATAACAAACTTTATTCACAATTGTTGAATTTTGATCCGATTTGATCTTTTAAGATCGATTTTTTTTTTTTTAAATCAAGTTATGAATCAAGTTGAAATTTTTTTAATAAATTAGAGATTAAATCAAAGTCAAGTTCTAAGTTAATTGGCATTAATCCAACTCAAGATATAAAAAATGATTTTTATTATTTATTTAATGTATATTTATATATATTATATAATAAAATTATTATTTAATATTTTAATTTAAAATATTATATTTATGAATAATTAAAATGAAATTTAATTTAAAAATAATATTTTATAAATATTATATTAAATTAAAATTATTAAATTAATTTCAAATCGAATCAATAATGATTTTATATGAGGGTTGGGTCGGGAATAAAACAAAAATTATGTTTTAATATTAGAAAGTCGAAGTCAGATATCAATTTTGCAGAGTCGGAACGAGAAAAACACAACACGATCCGATCCGTTGCTATTGGTAATATAACTCGAATCTTTGATCTCGACCCTATTTCCGATGTCTCAAGCGTCGTGCATGAAACAAAAACTCGAAACAATGTATCGATTAATTGACTTACCATTTGATGATGCTAACATAACATTCAAATTATTTGTTCTAAGCTCATTGATACAAGAGGCAACTGAGAAATTATAGGAACTAGATGATGGTTTTACATATTCATACACTCTCTTTAGAGCTGGAGACCTCGACGTCTGGTTTCTTCTCTTCACTAACTGCCATAGGATTCTTCTCGGATTGCTCCGTTAGAGCCTCAGAATCCCTTTTGAGTTCAGACTCGAACTCCTTTGCAGCCTGCAAAATATGTAGACGATCAAGTTTAATCTTATCAGCTATGTAGAATGTCAGCAGCGCTAGATATAATTAAAAAAATTTTACTTGGAAATGTTTCAGTGAAAACCTGTGGATAATCGTAAAGGCAGATATGCACAAACTAATACGAAACTGAATTTATTGGCAAGTGAAATAATGTCTCATAGCCATGTTTAACAAGTTATCTATAGATCAAGGATAAATCATCCGTTCCTTCACCTTCGACTTCTTAACTCCTTGTCTTTCAATCTTTATTTTTAAGAAATCCAAATAGGGGAACTTTACCCTCTCCATTCCCTCTCATTCCCTTCCTCTTGTGGTTCCAAAAATATAAGCTTAAGCAGTAAAGTGCGAACTGTTCTTTCCATACGGCAAAATAATTGTGAACACAACAAAAAACGTGCCATCTAAAAGGTGGGCTACACCTCATGAACTCTACATGAAAGATTAACTCAAGTCACTAACAAGAAGACACCATGACACTCAGCAAACGTTTTCCATGAACCATAATGCTCAACATAAGCCATTCAAGAATGTCCTTGAAATTCAGTTTAAAAGGAAAGGATTCTTAGGATATCGAGACGCCTGAGTATCACCATCTCTAACTCACATCATTTACTTGACAAAGAAATGGCATTTCTTTTTAGTTTTCACTGAGAAAATGAAAAAGAACCTACCTAAAATTGGAAAGAATGTAAAGCACGCCATACCAAATTCTAATTTCTAGTCATCTAGTTGCATATTTCTTCATATTTTGCCCACAAACCTAAAATTTCGGAGCAAAACAGGCACAATACGAAGAGATTCTACTATCACCTTAACTTGACCAAACAAAGAATGATATCCTTTAGCAATTGGAATTTGGAAGCAAATAAAAGGTATGATGCAGTTGAAATTAAGATAATTATAATAGACATGCTTCTCAGATTAATTCGCCCAAACTCATGTTTATATTCTTTAGCAATTAGAATACAAAAAAACAGGTATGATGAAGTTTGAGAATAACACCCCAAATAATTCTATCAAAAGAATATAGTTTTATTATAAGAATAAAAAGTTCACTAACAGGAACCAGTGAGTATAATGGGAAAACTAGACAATGTCTGTTTGAATTAAGATTGTTGCATATACTTTTCTCTAGAACTTAAAAAACTGGCATCTCAAGAGAAGACCATATCTTAGCAGGGATCATCATTTCAGTTGTCTACTAAGCCAGGATTATCATTTCAACAGTCTGCTGACCAGGGAAATGTTAATTGTTAGCATTTAGGCAACTTAAAGTGGAAAGCACCCCCTTTGTTACCATGCCACATTTGGCTTCAATATTAATTCATTGGGAAGCTTCCAACAAAATAAATAACATGTCATACTGATTCTTGTATCCCTGCTAAAATTATCCAAATTTTACATTTTGGTCTCTGAAAAGTGAAGAAATTGTTTTGGTACTCCATGATTGGTTTTACATTATATCCGAAACCCCTTAAGAAAACAGAGTTCAATATAACTCTGACAATAAATTACAGCAGCTCCAGATATCCTATAGCTCCAATCTCAACCTGCTCTGCCCCAAGATTTGACTTGATTCTTAACTCTTTACACTTTACCCAAAGTGGTTGTACAAAAGCAATGGGTTTTAGGCTGATATATGGTCAACTTAGTGGCACATAGTTTTATTAGGTCGTAAATAATAAAACTCAGATTGAGATTTTATTTTCCACTTGGTTTTCCTACAGTTTTTGAAAACACAAAAAAAGGAGGTGCAGCATTATTCTATTTTTGTTTCCTTGGTATGGTAGTTTAGTTTAGTAAAACAAGTTAGCTTTTCTAGTGTTATTGTTGATTTCATCTTGCTATATGTTTCCTTTAGGTTCGAAATAAAGAATTCACTGATAATGTGCAACTATGCTAGGAACTTTTGGTAGCAACTCCATGCAACACTTATGGAAGAAGGGAGGGGCTCCGCTTAGAGAGGAGGTGACACAATACTGGGAACTGATAAGTACTAAAACTAGCAACCACCCATAATTGATTGTAGTGAATCGTAGGTTTCAACGATATGAAACTACTCCAATAATCATCCATGAAAACTGGTAAAACTAACTCACACAATCTTAGTTCCCACAACAAGTGCAAGGCAATTTAGCTCATATCTACTATACCATGCTACTTAATCGGATAAAATTCCCTAAAGACAAGGTGTGAAACATGAACAAACCACTCAAAGGTAATACCAGTGCATTCATCTATCAAACATGTTAGGAAAATAAATAATAAGAAATATTCTAGAAAACACTTGGTATACAAGGTCAGTAGTTCCCCAATGTGTTCAAGGTGATTACAATTAATGAAATTTTCAAACAAGAATCTAAAATTAGTGTCAAGCATCAACACTATTGGTCTAGAGGTTTGAACTTTGAAGTAATCAAGATATGTACTAGCTTTCAGTTTAATGAAACAATTCAAGAAATGCCAAATAACTAAGAATGAAATGGATCAAAGACAATCAGAGATTTGAAAACCCAATTTAACAATTTACAAAAGAAAATTACAAGTAATTTATCCTCTCTTAGCTCAATTTTCTTTTCAAATTTGAACCCAAATTAAAACAGCATAACAAAGTCATCTAATTGTTCAAATTTTAATTCATCACCTAATTAAACAGCACAAAGTAAAAATTTCTTTCCTTTTCATTTTTCTCCTTAGGTTTCTCATCAACAATGCCAAAGGCTCCATTTTACAACAACCCAAATAACAAAAGAAACATTTTTGAGCAAAACGGCTAAATCTCTGGATCATTACCCTTCAGTTTTTGACATATGAAGCAAAACCCAGATAAGGAAATCAACAAACCTGTTGAAAACTCTTGAAAGTTTTCCCAATACTCCTCCCTACTTCAGGCAACTTCTTTGGTCCAAATAAAAGAGTAGCCACTCCAACAATAACAACAACTTCAGGCACACCAAGACCAAACAAAGCATTGCAAACAAGACCCCTTTTAGCAGGTTCAGCACTTGTTCTCCTTCTTGGTTGACCAACAACAAAAACAGATTTGTTTTGAGATTTGGTTTTGTTCAACAAAGAAATGGTATTACTGCTGGTGATAAAATTGGACTGAGAAGAAGAAAGAGGAAGTGAAGGTGGCGGGGGTCTCGAGAGAGAGATGGTCATAGAAGTAATCTCCATGGTATTTTGTGTCTGTCAAGATCTTTGAGTTGAAGGGTTTTCGATCTGTTTTCAAGTGAGTTTTATATGCGAGGTTTTGGTCAAAATGAAAAGACAACAGAAAGGGTAAGCTTGGGCACTTGGAATCGTTTTCTGAGCTTTCACTTACTCCGCTTTTAATGTGGAAATGCATGTTTGGTGTGGTTGGTGGTAGCTAATAAGTAGAAGTAGTAATTTTTTTCATAAAAAAATGTGTTCAGTTTATAAAGAAACTAACATTTTAAAGTGTTTTTTAAATCCAAACATTTATTATTCTTTTATTTTTAAATTACTAACTTTTTATTAAAAGAAATTATGATCTAAATAAATAGAACATAAACGAATAAATGTATATTTATGATTTATTTTTTTATTTTTAAAAAATTTAAGCTCGATTCATATTTAATAAAAAAATTATTCTATTCGTTTGAACTCGATTTTTTATTTAAATGATAAGATATTTGTATTCAATTAAATTAAATGAATTCATTTATAAATATTAAATAAACATATTTATGAACATATATATAAATAAATATATTTATGAGCAATAAATAAATCATAATCAAATCAATTTAAACAAATTAATCTTAAACAAATATAAAAGAACATAAATGATATACATTAACCTTAAAATAAATTTAAGATAAAAAATAAAAATATAATTTTATTAATATTATTATAAATAAACAACAAATAAATAAATTTTATAAATTTTAAACGAATTTATTTATAAAATTAAATGAATTGAATAAAATTTTATTCATATTCAATTCATTTAATAAACAAATATAAAAATATTATTTAAAATCATTTATTAAACTTAATAAATAAATATAAACAAATAAAAACTAAACTTATCTATAAATAATTTGTCTATTCGATACTAGTATTTATTAGTAGTCATTTTAATCATGCCAAAGAACGAGGTTACACTTTTTGCATTATATCATCAAGATTCGAGACTGAGATTTTTATACTCTATAGTCTTATGCCTCCAAATCTCTCCAAAAGAATTTGCACCCGACATTTTACTTCTATGGACACATGCATTCACTGCCAAGATTCAGCTGCCTGCCTCTCTTAAACCTCAAAAAACCAATAGCCTCACACCATATCAAACAAATCCATGCCCAGTTAATCACCAATGCCCTCAAAGAACCCTCCTTTTTTGCCAAACTAATTGAAAGCTACTGCTTTTCACCCTCTCCACTAAATACCCAATATGCCCATTTGATATTCAAACACTCTGAGACCCAAAGTTTGTTCCTTTTCAACACTTTATTAAGATGCAGCCAACCCAAGGACTCGATGTATACTTTTGCCAACTGGGTTTCAAAGGGGCACTTAGTTTTTGATGATTTCACTTTTATTTTTGTGCTTGGAGCTTGTGCTAGGTCACATTCATTATTAACGTTATGGTTAGGGAGGCAAATTCATGTAAAAGTTTTGAAATTTGGTGTTATGTCAAACCTTTTGGTAAGGACTACATTGATTCATTTCTATGCAAATAACAAGGATATTTTGTCAGCAAGAGGAGTGTTTGATGAAATGGCTGAGAGAAACAGTGTTACATGGAACGCCATGATTAAAGGCTATTGTTCACAAAGGGGAAGAGCCACGGAATGTTGTAGAGAAGCTTTGATGCTGTTTAGAGATATGTTAAATGACGTTTCTGGGGTGAATCCTACTGATACTACCATGGTTTGTGTTCTTTCAGCTTGTTCTCAATTGGGAGATCTTTACAGTGGGGCTTGTGTTCATGGTTTCATAGAGAAGACAATTTTTGGGCCTGTAGATGATGTTTTTATTGGAACTGGTCTTGTTGACATGTATGCAAAATGTGGGAACATTTATAGTGCTTTATATATTTTTAGGCTAATGAGTGTGAAAAACGTTTTGACATGGACTGCCATGGGAACTGGGTTAGCTGTTCATGGGAGAGGGAAAGAAGCATTGGAGCTGTTGGATGCAATGGAGGATTCTGGTATTAAACCCAATCCAGTGACTTTTACTAGCTTGTTTTCAGCTTGTTGTCATGCAGGGCTTGTTGAAGAGGGACTTCATTTATTTCACAATATGAGTAACAGGTTTTGTCTTGCGCCTCAGATACAACATTATGGTTGCATCGTTGATCTTTTAGGCAGGGCAGGACATCTTAAAGCAGCCTATGATTTCATTATAGAGATGCCAATAAAACCTGATGCCATACTGTGGAGGAGTTTATTGAGTGCATGCAATGTTCATGGAGATGTTGCAATGGCTGAGAAGGTGGGGAAGATTCTGTTTCGGCTTGAGCCACCAAAGAGTTCTGTACATATGCCTGTTACTAGCGAGGATTATGTAGCTTTATCAAACATTTATGCTTCAGCTGGAAAGTGGCAGCAAGTGGAGATGGTAAGAAAGAAAATGAAGTTAAAGAGAGTAGAAACCAAACCTGGAGGTAGTTCCATACAAACCATCAGCAAAATAGTTGATGTGGGAAGTAGCAAAATAGTTGTTGCTGATAAAAATGAGGCAATGAAAGAATGAAGATGAAATTACAGTAGAGACTGGAGAGACTAACCAATGAATGGATTCAGTATTTATGCATTTTCAACCATGATTCTCCAGCTGATTTTTGTGCAGATAGAAAGCCACCGAAATAGAATAACATGAAATCCGAAGAGGCAATAGAATGAAACACCGGCAAGGAAATATTCCCCCTTCATCAGTAGAATAGCGTCTGAAATAGACTTAATAGATTGCCAAGATTTTTGCAGAATGTTAGTCAAAAGATAATAAAGGATTTAACATAATCTTTTTCTTTCTTTTTATGCCTCTCCCTCGTAACAAATATCAGGATTATTGGTGATTTGCATTCTATAATTCCCATTAACAATATTTTTACACTGCCACAGTTGCCAGTTAATATTTTACCATTCAAAAAGTATATCAAGAGAGAAACTGCAGCATCACCCTGTGAAGAGGGAGGGATTGGTGCAAGAGCTAGTGGCCTAAAGAAATGGATTCTCCCAAGGGTCCTATTTAACATGTTATCCAATATAAGGAGACAAGCACGTTCAAACGTAAGTCTCTCTATCCTTTGGTAGGACAGAACCTTATGATCCCAATTGCAACTATGTTTACCTAGCAACAAGGTTTGCTTAGTAAATTTTTTTTTTTTTAACAAAAGAACACATAACCCGAGGATAGAGAAAAAAGAGCCGGTGTGACATTTTAAAGGTGTTTGAATTTAAATCATAATTTTGAAAGGATGAGCCTTTATCTTTTTACAAGGGATGATTTTATTTTAAACTTTCTTGGGTGGCAAGTTATCACATTATTATTCAAAATTAATCTCAATCATTCTCTAAACTATACATTTTTCAGTAGTTTCCAGTTTCGAATGTACATATCTACATTTTATCATATAAATTGTTATGTAAGTCTAAAAATTTTTAAACCCGAAATGATTTGAACAGAGGCAAAAATTAAATACACTCGTTGTTGTGAGTGTCAAACCATCTTTTATCGACTGAAAATTTAAGACAATACCGTATTACTCTTGAATGAAATAATCAAGATAAGAAATCAAGTAAAATTCAACCAATTAAGTCATAACAATCTCTTTTGCATCAACTATAACATGGGCTACAACTAGAACCAAGAGCGGACTTGAACTGGAATATGATGAAATAATCAGTTTCTGCTGAGAAATTTATTTATATTGTTCTTGAAAGAGTTGAAACTCTCATCTGAGATTTTGGAACTCAATAAATACAACATACATAAGAGATAAGGAAACACTAAAATGGAGAGGTTATTGGAACTGCAACAAGCATAAAAAATCAATCACATGGAAGTACATTGATGATATACCATGTGTTGGTGTATGATATAGCACAGAATTTGCAGCTACATCAGCTTGGTCCTATACCATAATTGGTTATTTGATAAGCAGACCGGTCGGACATAGTTAATACCTTCCAGATGCAACCGATTCAGCAGCAAAAAGATACTTCACACGTGAGAGAACAGAATCATGAGCAGGATCATAAGGATGATCTTTGGAAGGGATTTCCAAAATTGCTGGAACTGGCTTATTGTAGCTATCAACTAAAAACCTTATCATGTTTGCAACCTGATAAGAGTTGGAAGAAGAGTTAGATTTCTAAACTGATAACAGCTTTGAAGTAAACCCAAGAATTGCAATACATGGTTCGCTTCTGGTAGATAAAACAACTCTATGCTTAACAGGCTACTGTCAAACTTCCTTTCCCAATTACCATTTGACTACAGCTAAGCAGGTAACTTGAATTGCCTGACTTACCACAGTGTCCAGACCTGTTAACGGTTCTAAGAAGCATGACATGAAAATTAGGATAAAGGGATCATGCAAGAGGTATTTTAAACTGCTTTGATTCCTTTTGCAACAAGTCTTGCTATGCTTGGAAAGATGAAATTGAAAGAATGGATTTGGATTTGATTTGTTATATAAATTGAACGAATGAAATTACACACTAAGAACAAATAAGTTAAAGATTCAATATGGTTATATATTTGAAAGGTATAAAAAAATGAAGTTCAAATTCACCACTAAATAGCCATCCAACAAATCCATAAACTTGAAAAATAATCATGAAAGTTACATTTACATATGCTTCATCACACAAGTTACACTAAATTTGAAATCCCAATCCCTTCTTTTAGATCCAAGTTTCCAAACACAGCCTTAAAGAATTAGTGACAATTGATTTATATATTATGTATCCCACCATCATGGTCATCGAAAGAGATAAATCACGTTGATACCATTAGACACAAAAATGTATGTGCAATAACTTACATATTGACTGATCAAAATAATTGCAATATCATCCTTTGTGGTGAACTCTTTGAATGCATCTTCAATTGCTTTCACTGTTGTTTCTGAGCAGAAACATCAAACTATTATTAGCTAAAAGAATCAAGGCAGGCAGAAGGCATACATTGAAAGTCAAACATAAATATGACACAAGCAAGTTATATTGAACAACAGTCTGAAAAACATTAATTTCATTGCCTAATGAAGTACCACGTTACCATCCACCATCTAACATTCTTCCTTTGGAAACCATACTTTTCAAAACACTTTAAAGTTTAAACAAGCCTCTAAGCATCCTCTGGTTCGACAATGCAATTCCAGGAAAAGGAATCGCTGACGTGAGCCTAAATCACAATCTGAAAAGCTGATAATCCAAACATGTGGCCACAAGTAATATTTGGCACTCATCCTCATCTCAAGAGCAACCTTATGGGAGTTCCATTATATCAAGAATGCATATAAAGCTCGGAACCATCCCTTTGAAAGTTGCGAAAAAGAGCAGCACAAGTGAATTACACCTATTAGATTGTAAACTTCTGGCCAGAAAACATGGCAGCTACTAACAGCTTGGTGCCACAAGTAATACTTGGCACGCATCCTCATCTCAAGAGCAACCTTAAGGGTGTTCTATTATATCAAGAATGCATATAAAGCTCAGAACCATCCCTTTGCAAGTTGCGAAAAAGAGCAGCATGAGCGAATTACCTATCAAAATGTAAACTTTAGACCAGAACACATGGCAGCTGATAACAGCTTGGTGCCACAAGTAATATTTGGCACTCATCCTCATCTAAAGAGCAACCTTATGGGAGTTCCATTATATCTAGAATGCATATAAAGCTCAGAACCATCTCTTTGCAAGTTGCAAAAAAAGAGTAGGTTGAGTGAATTACGCCTAACAGAATGTAAACTTCAGACCAGAAAACATGGCAGCTGCGTTGTTAACTCAATTCCATAGGATGTCTCATCTTATGATTCATGATCTAATTGCATATGTTCAACAGTGAAGTACTATCAACTAAAGCCTACTTAGCTTTGGTCAGCTAATAGAGTAACAATAAGCATAGCAAGGAATCAGAAAAAAACTTAAGAAAATTCAATAAAAAAACTATAAATAAAAAAACTAATAACAAGAAAAAAGCTAGTAAATTAATTAAAAAAAAAAGAAAAAAAAAACCATACTGGAATCGACGATCAAATAGTTGGTTTTTCTCCTTAAATCCACATTTCCAACTCCAGCCATCAAAAATCCAGTTACAGTATCCTACACCATATGAAACAAAAATATTAAAATAAAATATCAAAATTATGCTAAAAATTAAAAAAAAAAAAAAAGAATTTTCGTTCACCTCATCAGCAATCATAGCAATTAGAGCTGAGTTGCTTGTTGGAATTTGAGCTCTTCCCGCCATTTCTTGAAAAAAAAAATCTTTAGAGCTCCAGAATTTTAAAAATAAAAAAAAAACCCATAAAATTTGGCTTTATTTATTTCTTTTTGTTTTTTCATTTCCTACTGCTCGATTTTTTCAGCATCCAAACGAAATTATTCTAAATAAATTTGATAAGATAAACGATTATTAAATAAAATTTTAAAAAAAATACAGATCGAACCTTTTTTCAGAGCTTCGAATCCTCACGAAAGACGGAGAGAATTTGATATTATTTTCATTTTTTCTTTTATTTTCCATATTTATACTTGAGCTGAGCCAATTTTTTCTTGGGTTTATTGGGCTTAAAACCTAACTTGAAATTTGTTGGGCCTTAAATTATTGGCCTAAGCCTAAACTTTGTTGGGCTTAATGTGATAGTTTAAACCGCAAATTTTTGTTAGATTTAATTTTTTTTAGCGATAAAAAATTTTTAGGGATGATTCAAGTATATTTATTTAGGTTGATTTAATAAATTTATGAGAAATTATTTTTTTATAACCTTGATTTTATTATAAAATATGTAGTCTCTAAATTATTTTTGTTACTTAAATTTGTTTTCAAGTTTTTAATAATAATATTAATTTTCTATTTATTTACTCATTGATTTTTCCTTTACATAGTTAAAAAAATGAAAAAAAAATATTTAATATCAAAAAATATTAATTTTATTTAATTTCTGGCATGTGATCATTTTTTAATAATAAGTGAGTTTATTTTACTATAGAGCAAGTGGTGAGTGAAAAGAATAAGATAATATTTTTCTTACAATATTTTCCTTTAGGTAAGAATAATTGTATTTGCACAAGGTCAAATGTAGGCATGTAGGTGTAGGGTATTACCTCAATTATTATGTTTGAAAATTTTATATATGTTTGAAAATTTTATACAATATAGTGATAAAAGTTAAGCTAAAATCCACATTTTTAGTCAGAATCATGTGAAAATGGAGAAGGTATTCATGAAAAAAAAAAAAAAAAAAGTAAGAGAGAAAGAATATAGAGGATATGCAATGTGTGGTGGATGGGCAAATCATAGAGATGGAGAAATATTCCCATATGGAAATCATCTTGAATAATTATATAATTATTTATAATGGTTATTGGTTCAATTATTTGGTCACATTATTATAAATTATTTTCCAAATTATTTAAAACAAAATAAAGTCCAAATCTAATTATCTAATTTTAGTTTTAGACAACAATTCATGCATAATACCAATAATTATATGATCTGTTGATATAATATTAAAATTTTAATTTAATAATTAAAATTTAATTTTCAACGATCTCAAATATATATAAAAAAAAAAATTCATGCACAATCTTCGTATATATGAATTACATATAAAAAGAAAGGAAAAACACAATCATATGAAGTTTTATTGTTGCTAATGCATTTTAAGAATATTAATTTTATAATTCTCGTTTTATTTGATTGCATTTTGAAGATGGAATTGCATATGTTTAGAGTATGACTTCCCCACTTGTGAGGATTAAAAGAATGGAAGTTCCTTCAATTGCATGATAGAAAAAAAAAAGTTATTTAGATTTAATTTTTCTTTTTTATTATATCAAACTAACATCCAACTATTTATTGCATTTCCACTACAAGAGAGGGCCTTTTCCTATGATTGACAAGTTAGTTTCATTTTTTACCAATATCTCCAAATTGTAATCACTCTTTCATCGATATTTTGGGCTGTGTGTCCATAAAAAAGTATTTGATTATAGTACAAATATATGTAATTTTGTGATTTTTATTTTAAATTTAACTTTTATTTAAATTAAGTTTAAAAGATATTACGTTCTTAAAAATTTGTTTTAAACCAGTAATTTTTTAAATTTATCTAACATACATGCTATTTGTGCTAGGACACTTTTGTCTTTGAAACTTTGGTTGGCATTTGTGGCAAAAAAAAATAAATCAAAAGTTACAAATCAAAAGCATTTTCCTAGTATACTTGATTATAGTACAAATATATATAAACTTTTATTTATTTAAATTACGATCAAGATATTGCACATTTAAATTTTTTTAAACTCGTAATCTTTTAAATTTATTTAGTATATGTAGAAGTATTAATTCAATCGGTTTGATTAATTTTAAACTAAATTATCTAAAATTAAGGCTGCAAATAAATCGAACATGAATGAACGAATATATGTTTGTATTTATTCATTTATTTTTAAAGGTGTTTGTGTGCGGTTTATACTCATTAAGAAAATTGATTTGTTCATTTATGTTCGTTCGTTCGTTAAAATAATAGGTTATTAATGTTCAATTTATATTTATTTAATTAAGTTAAATAAGCTCGTTTATGAATATTAAACGAACATGTTCATGAACATATATAAATGAACACATTCATAAATAATAAACAAATCATAACCAAATAAATTTAAATAAACAAATCCTAAATGAATATAAATAAACTCAAACAAATATAAACGAACCTTGAAATAGAATTAGGGTAAAGAATAAAAATGTAATGTTATTAGTATTATTATAAATAAACAATAAACGAACAATAAACAAATAAATTTTAAATAAACTGTAAACGAGTTTATTCATACACATAAATGAATGAACAGATAGCTGTTCATATTTAGTTCGTTTAAAAAATAAATATACAAATAATGTTTAAGATCATTTGTTAAATTTAATAAATGAATATAAACGAAAAGGTACCAAATATATTCACGAACAATTTATTGAAAACTTTGTTCATTTATATCCTTATCCAAAATTGTATTAACTGAATTATATTATTTATTTCATTAACCGAACCAAAATTATGAATTTTGAAAATTAACCAATTGAATTTAATTCAGTTGGTCTAGTTAAATTTTTTGTTTAACAAAATAGTAAATGTATTTAAGTTAAATTATATTTTAAATTCTTAATTTCTCATATTTTAAACAAATGAAATTAAATTATTCAATAAAATATTCAAATACTAAAGTATTATGTTAAAATTCTAACAAGTTATGAAATTAAGTGATCCATTTAATATATTTTTTGTTTTATACTTAGATTATATGATATTTCAGTTAAAATTTCAGTTAATTTGATTTTCAAACCAAATTAACCGAAAACCAAAATTCTTCTAAAATATTTACATTGATCGATCGAAATTAATTTGATAACCGATCGATTAATCAAATTAAATCTTTTCAATCAATTAATTCGATTAAAATCAAATTATAAACACCCCTAAGTATACATGGTATTTGATCTATTGCTACTTAGACACTTTTATCTTTGAAACTTTGGTATGCATTTATGGCCAAAAAAAAAAAAAAAAACAAAACTCACAAATCAAAAGCATTTTCCTAGTAATTTCCTTGGATCCAAACAAAACAAAGTCTTCATTTCCAAGCTAATCTCTAGGAATTTTCCTAATGTGCAAGGGCCACTAAGTTGCAACCATCCCTTGGCCGCAATTTCCTATGGATCAATGAGTCCAAATTTCACAATATGAGGAAAGAATAAAAACAAGAATACGCCCAAAATAAAAAATTATTTTTTTTAAGAATTGTTTTTTTTATTATTGGTCTTAATATTAAAAAGGTTGGAAAATATCATAAAACTTCCTTAAAAAAATAATAATAATAAGATGATAAGGAAATATATTAATGCCAAAAAATTGACACTTACTAAAAAAGAAATAATCCAAATATTTGTAAAAAAATTATCAATGGAAAAAGAAAGTAACTTTAATTTTTTCATCTTATTGACATAAAATTAAAAAGAGTTAATAAAATATTAAATTTATATTTGATACATTATCGATATATAAATTTTATACACACTTAATGAATAAGATGATGATAACTTATTAATAATATGAATAAGGTAATAACACCATATTAATGATTAAATTATTTTAATTTATGTTATTTTAAGGGTTGATCTTTGTTTGTTAATGAATTGTTATTATTTAATTTATTAATAGTATATAAATTTTATATACTAATAATACATCAACTATAAATTTTAAAATATAATATTAGAAAGTTTAATGTATTTTAGTAAGTAATACTTTATTAATATGTATTAAATATGAAATATATTTTTTATTTTTATTAAATTTATATATTTTATTTTAAATTTTAAATTATGTGACTTTAATATTATTGAAACATTTTTTTAATTGTTAAATTTCAATTTCTCAATTAAAAAAATTACTAAAAAAAATTGAGGTGCCTTGTTTGATACAATAACAAGGATGCTCTCTTACATTAAATTTCTCTCTCCAAATCTTAGAGAATGCTTTTGAAAAATAAAATAAAAATTATAGACTGATAATAAATAATAAAAAGAACTAGTAGCTTTATGACTTCCCTTAAGTACTCTTCCCCCACCATGGTGTCTTTCTGTATATATAGGAGAGAGAGTTACAGGCTTCACAATCCATACCCGTTCATTTCCAATCCCAAATTTGCTTCCTTTCCTTTCTTGTATAATCTTTTCTCTTCAAAGTTCCAGGCGTTTAACACTTTTCAGGTATGTATCTTTACTGGGTTTGCCTTGGTTTCTCTTCCACACCCTGTTTCAGTGCTCTGTTTCTGAGGTTGCTTTTCCTCTATTTCCTTTTGTTTCTCATTGCTTCTTTTCATTATTTATGGTTTAACCTTTTCTGGGTTTGTTTTGAATTTCATGTTTATTTATCCTCTGCCTCACATTTCTGGATTCTCTGCTCCCATGCTTTTAGGCTAAGAATTTTTTTTATGGTGCTATTAATTGAACAAAATTTTGGGTTTCAACATTTGTGTTTGTTTTTTTCCCATTCTATGTAAAATTTGGAATTTTTGAGTAAATTAAGTGATTTTAGTAGTAGCTTTTGTTGCTTTAAGATCTGCTTGTCATTTCCCAAAAGAAAGGAAAGATTTGCTCGTCAAGATGTTCTTTTTTAAAAAAAAACTTTGTAGAATTGCAGTGATTTGTTTTCTGCATGTTTATTCTGAACTAGGACTTTTGTTTTCATTTTTTTAAAAAATTACATGGCCGATATCGTAAAATTCTTCATCCAATTTGTCTTTACTAGCTAAAGGAATGCATAGAAATGTGAAAGCTTCAATTTTTATGTTCTTAAACTATAATTTTTTCCCTTTTTTGGCTATTACCTTCTTATGATTTTGTTTACATACTTATTTTTTTCTTGATTTTCTCCTAAAAGTGGAGATTTTTTACACTTTTAAGATTGTAGAATTGTTGTAGTATTCTAATTGTTATTTTCTTTTGGATTTTGTTTTGTCCTACTCAAATGGCCAGTATGTAGCAGTAAATTGGTTTTTCATTTGCATCCTGCTTTTGCTCAGAATTCAAGCATAAATTGTAACTAATGGATGTTCATAATTGAGCATATGCAGAATGGGAAGTGCTGATGGGACCAACTATGGCGCTTACACCTATGATGCCTTGGAGAGGGAGCCTTATTGGCCGTCTGAGAAACTCCGAATTTCCATCACTGGTGCTGGTGGTTTCATTGCATCTCACATTGCCAGACGTCTGAAGAGTGAAGGCCATTACATAATTGCTTCTGACTGGAAGAAGAATGAGCACATGACAGAAGATATGTTTTGTCATGAATTCCATCTCGTTGATCTTCGAGTCATGGACAACTGCTTGAAGGTTACCAAGGGAGTGGATCATGTTTTCAACCTTGCTGCCGATATGGGTGGGATGGGTTTCATTCAGTCCAACCACTCTGTCATTATGTACAACAACACAATGATCAGTTTCAACATGCTTGAGGCTGCTAGGATCAATGGAGTTAAGAGGTTTGTTCAATTGGTGTATTATATCTTTGCCTTTTATTTGTTGCAGTTCCACTTTATGTTTACAGTTGCTTTAAAACTTGATATCTTGGTTTGTTTAGGTTTTTCTATGCGTCCAGTGCTTGTATCTACCCTGAATTTAAGCAGTTGGACACTAATGTGAGTTTGAAAGAATCTGATGCCTGGCCTGCTGAGGTTTGTTACTCTCAGTCATTATCTACTATTAAATACTCTAATGCTTGATGAGTGAATGTGATATAATTACTGATTTTCATATTTTTAACCTGGGTTTTAGCCTCAAGATGCTTATGGCTTGGAGAAGCTTGCAACAGAGGAATTGTGCAAGCACTACACTAAAGACTTTGGAATTGAGTGTCGCATTGGAAGGTTCCACAACATTTATGGCCCCTTTGGAACATGGAAAGGTAAACTCTTTTGATGAGTGCTTATGTATTTTGTGGCTTTTGGAACATACTAATTTTCTCGCTTCCATGCATCCATCTTACAGGTGGAAGGGAGAAGGCTCCAGCTGCCTTTTGCAGAAAGGCTATTACTTCCACCGACAAATTTGAGATGTGGGGAGATGGACTTCAGACCCGATCTTTCACCTTCATTGATGAATGTGTAGAAGGTGTACTTAGGTAAAGTTTGGCATTTTTCAAAGCTCCTCCAGCCAAAACTCATATGTGTTTTTGCCATTAACTAGCTGGTTGAGTTCAGTTTGAAATTACTATTCTATTTTTTGAATGTGAAAAATACTTTTTTCTTATTGATCAACCTTTTTTTAATTAATACCTTCAGATTGACGAAGTCAGATTTCCGTGAGCCTGTGAACATTGGAAGTGATGAGATGGTTAGCATGAATGAGATGGCAGAGATTGTTCTTAGCTTTGAGGATAAAAAGCTTCCAATCCATCATATACCTGGTCCAGAGGGTGTCCGTGGTCGTAATTCAGACAATACATTGATCAAAGAAAAACTTGGTTGGGCTCCTACAATGAGGTTGAAGGTAACTGAATTATGTTATCACACATGATTTCCTTAGTTTAAAGATTCTTCATGACCTCCAATTTTGGCAAATGTTGTGGTTGCTTCGCCAGTAAAGATAATAAATGGAATATGTACAGAAAAGTAGAAGAGACCCAAGTTATCCCTTTCACCGGTCATTGCCTAGTTTTTATCAAGTGCTTCTTTCGCTTATGGAGTATCTGAATTTACTGTTTTTTAGGATGGGCTGAGAATTACATACTTCTGGATCAAGGAACAAATTGAGAAAGAGAAGGCTCAAGGCATTGACCTGTCTATTTATGGTTCATCAAAGGTGGTTGGAACTCAAGCACCGGTTCAGCTGGGCTCACTTCGTGCTGCTGATGGCAAAGAATGAAGTAGTAAAGCTTGTGTAGTTTCTTTAAAGCCAAGTTTTATTATGGTATAGCTATGCTAATGGCATTGAAAAGGAATGCATCAACCAAGATCAGGTTGGCTATTTATTTTTGGTATTTAGTTTGTGTGTTATGGTCATCATCAAGGGGTGGCATGGTGTTGTAAGATGATATGCTAGGCTTAATAGCCTTTAAATAATGAAATTCGTTTCTTGGCTTGAGCATTGATTCATGCTGACTTTGTTTCTTGCAGCCACTTTTGTGTTAATTGTCATATGGTAGAAAACCATTGTTCCTTCAGCTATTTTTCATGGTTTATATGAATTCAATGGTTCATCTTATAGCAGTGAAGTTGCTCTATGCAAATCAAGGGGAACAAACGTGGTTGTACTGAACACTGGTGCATTATAGCCCACCTTGGCTTAACCGGTGGTCCCTTGTATGTTTCTTACCATGGATTACAATTGCTAGAATAAGTTAATACTGATCATCATCCTCCACATTTTCAAGGAGACCAAAACATGAGGGGCATAATATTCTAAAACACAATAGTGTTTCCTTTTTCTTTTCCGTTCTTGACTGCCATTTGATCTCAAGTAACTTACTTCCGTCCAGGCAAAACTTGTTTGACAGCTTGACTGGCCATTTTGTCATGATTTAATGTCTTAATTCTAGATGGTGAGAGCTGATAGCTCTTTTTAAGTCATCTGAATCCATGGTTCAAAATTTGTCGAGGATAATACCTGACGTGGCCAAGTGCTAATCTCACAAAAAAAAATAGGGAGGCCACCTTGTTCACGTGGTAGCATACTGATTCCAATTGCTTTTCATTGAAGGCAGAAAATGACAGAATATGCAGCGATTGCCAATAGTCTTGAGCCCACCATTTGTGGGGCCAAAAAGCAACCGGCATGTGGTGATTCTTGTAATAGTCCTTTTGATTGTTGATAAGTAGTAGTGTAAACCACTCTAATCTCTGCTTGTCCTTCACTGCCATAGCAACGCATCATCACTTATCAGCTGTACTTCTTTGTCGTTATTCTGCACATGTTTCTTACATTTTTACCCCTGCCAACTGAAAAAACGTAGCATGATGAGTCACTATCCTGAAATGTATTACTCAATAGATCTCAGAATTTATCTGATCGTCAACATCTTTACCACTTGGCCAACAACCCTTCATTAATTGGTGCCCTAGCTCAAATTTTTGCAATGTAGAATTCTGCTCCATAGAATTTCATCTTCAGTAACTTGTTCTTGGAACAATCGATATTTGCATTCCTGGAGTGCAATATGCTCACCTTGCCTACTCTTTGGAGCGGTGGAGCTCTCAATACAGTTGATATACCCTGTCTATCTCTACTGGAGCGCTTGACGTGAAGTCGGACAGTAAAGTTTAACTGAAATGTTTAAACTGAAAGCCATAAGAAATTACCCTTGTGTCTGAAAACTTGATAATTCTTATCAAAAGACAAGTCTCCTACTGCAAAGGATCAGCTATAAGAAAAGGAGTTCTGTCACCAGAGATAACGGTGAAGCCATGTAGATATAAAACCTCCCTTTTTTTTCCGACTGAAAATGGTTCAAGATGTTAAGTAGCAATTATATGTAGAAATTGAAAAAGTGAATGCTCTCCATATTACAACAACAGAAGAAAGGAAAAGACAAACTCATGATCGACCTTTTTTAGCTTAGAACCATTGACAGGTTGCAAATATACAATCCAAAGACCAAAACCTGCAGGGATGTGCTACAACATTTGAGAAAAATTGTCCCTCTGCACAGAGAAAAATACACTTTTTGGTAAATATAATCTTTTTAAAATTATTTTAAGGGCGTATTATCTCACATACATATGGTTTTTGAAGTGTTTCCATAACATTAGAGTCCTAGTCGACAAGTGATTATAATTATCATATGATAATAGATTCTTTAAAATTAGGAGTTCTCATAATTCAATTTTAATCGAATTATTCGATTGAATCGATTTAATTCGATTAATTAGTCGGTATTAAATTAATTTCAGTTAATTATTAAAAATAATTTTAGAAAAATTTTGGCTTTTGATTAATTCCATTTGAAAATCGAATTACTCAAAAATTTTAACTAAAATATTATAAATTTTATATATAAAACTAAAAATATATGAAACTATCAATGTCAATGCAAATTATTAAAGTTTTTAACTTAATATTATGGTGTTTGAATAATTTTATTCAATAATTTTATTTAATTTATTTCATATATGAGTAAATAAAATTTTAAAATAAATTTAATTTAATATATTTAATTACTCCGTTAATTAAAAAATTAATCGAATCAATCAAATTAATTTCGGTCAATTAATTTTTGAAATTAAAAGATTTAGTTTGATTAAGGAAAATAAAATAACATAATTTTGTTAATTGAATTTTAAGTAATTCAATTTAAAATTAACCAAATCACTTTAACTTAAAATATTTGTAAGCAGATGATTTGGACTTTCTTGGAGCAGTAGTGTTTTGTTGGGCAAGCAGAGAAACCATGGCAGCCCAAGGAGGAAAACGCCTGGAAAACAATAAGGATAATTGGCCTAAAGATCTCCTTTCAATCTTCGCAACCCTTCCTGCCAAGTCTTTGTCAAGACTCAAACAAGTTGATGAAGGAGGCCAGGAAAGGTTTTCAACCAAGTTCTTTGGATATCTATCATCTTCCACCTCATGTTTATTACATGTCGAATTCTTTGTGATGGAATTCTTTGCTTCTTTGGGAAAACCAATGTCTTTGTTTACAATCCAGGAACCAGAGAGTTTCAGATTCTTCAGATTTGAAAGGAGGGATCCTCCCTTTCTACTTCCTACTCTTTTGATTGCTTTGGTACGTATTTTCTCCCCTTGTTTTTATGTTCAGATAGATTGAAAAAAGGGGTGTTTATTAGATTTTGTAAAAATCTGGAGGATCTTCTTTCTCCCTTGATTTTGGAATTTGTAGTTGATTTGCTTGGGATGTTTCTCCCAAATTCGAATGCTATTTGAAGTAATAAAGCTTCAGAGTTCAGATTATCAACGTGCAAGCAAACTTCTATTCCACGAAGATCAACAAATAAAGTTCAACATTAATTCACTCTAAGCTATGTTCCACAGACATTTCTTCAGGCCAACAATTTGTCATTAGTTTCTCAATAATGATCTTCAATGCAGGAGCACTCACCCCACATTTCTGATCCGCGAAGCAAGATTTCCCTTCCTCAGCTGCCTTGCAAAGCTGTGGATCTAACGGAACCTTTCCGAGGAAGGGTACTCCCATCTCCCTACACATCTTTTCTGCACCACCAGCACTGCTATCAAAGACTTCACTGACGGCAACGAGATCTAGCATTTCTGGTGCTTTCTCCCTCATGTACTCTATAACCTTCTCTGTGACGTCTGTGTGTTCACCATTCTCTGTCATCCTCAAAAACCTGAAATCCGTCAACAGCTGACACAAGCCACTCATATTCTCAACAACCCCAAGAACTGGTAATCCAACCTTTTTGCAGAAACTGACTTCTTTTCGCACATCGATCAAAGAGACCTGCTGTGGGGTAGTGACGATTATTGCTCCATCTATTCCAGTATTCTGAAGGAATTGGACAATTGAGATGTGCTCATCAGAGGTCCCAGGTGGGGCATCAACAACCAGAAAATCAAAATCTCCCCAATATACATCCTTAAGGAATTGCTTGATGAGCCCATTTTTACGTGGTCCTCTCCAAATGACAGCTTCATCAGGGTTGGGGAGCATGAAACCAATTGACATGACCCCAAGGTTAGATTCAACATAGACAGGAGACCAGCCAAGGTTGCTCTGGTGAATGTCTTGACCTTCTAGACCAAGCATCTTTGGAATGCTTGGACCACATATATCAATGTCCAGAAGACCGACCTGTAAGTCCTTAGCGGCTAGTGCAAATGAGAGCTGGGTGGAGAAAGTGCTTTTGCCAACTCCTCCCTTCCCTGATAAAACCAGTATCTTATGCTTAACAGTAGCCATCCTTTCTGCAATTGCTACCAAGTCTGCGGAATGTAATGCATCAAACGTAATATCTCAGATAACAGATTTATAAGACAGATAAAGGTAGCAAAACATAAGACGATTGGCTAATCATGAATGCACCATCACAAATGGAAAATCACTAATGGTTAAGGCAATTATATGCAAGGTTCTTGATATAGATCATTATGGAAATTGAAAGATGAACAATGGAAACCAAAAATAGTAATAGGAAGGAGGCCTGAGTATAATTTTCACAACTTTCTGCACAGTAAAATTGAAAAAAAAAAGTTTGTAAAATACAAGCACAAAATTAGCATCCTCTCCCCTCACTTCATCTCAGTTCGATCAAGGGGGTGACAATATAAGTTGGGTCAAATCGAGCTATTAGACTCCGTACTCAGGTGAAAATGCGCATTCAGTTGTGCCAATCTCCAATTTCTTCACTAAGACTAGCACATTATTCTTATGTTTATGACTAATATCAGCACATGATCATTGAAGACTAATTTCATCATCTGATTAGCACTATGACACCAAGAAACAAAAAATTTAAGCTTCAAGTGCGCATCATGATTAATCTTCCTTAGCAACACATAATTTTGGTCCAACAAGGAATTAACCCATATTTGACTAAGTGTATCAGAAGTCTCCAACCTTTCTCTTCTCATTCCCAAATAGGCAAACAACTGAGCTCTATTTAAAACATACTAACAAGTTCCTCAAATATAAACATAAAAATCTCCTAAAATCGATTCTGTAACATCAATTTTAACAGTTCTAGCTCATCCAGACTAAAATTTTCACTAGAAATTCAAAACAACCCCAAAGTTCTAGTCATAAAAAAATCACTAAAAGCTGTATTGAAGTACAGATATAATAAACATGGGGAAAGAGCAAACCAGGGTCAGGGCCCTTAGGGGCAGTGGCACAAACTTGTTGATTGGGGCAACCTTGGCAGGCGTCGGATTTGCCCGCTGACTCTGAATCAGGACCGGGGCAATCTGAAGAGAATTTGAGGAAAATTAAGGAGGAAAACACAAATCATGAAAACCAAGAAGACCCGAGAAAGAGGAAGAAAAGATAAAGAAAAACATACGTTCATTGGCGTTTTCTGGGATTTCTCCATTCTCCATGGCTGGTGTTTTTGTTTTGAAGAAAAAAGAGAGCTTTGCTGAAGGCAACGACTGGCAACCTGTATGGTTTCAATTAGTTTTAGTAAGCAACAACTAAAAATTAATCCAAACTAAATTTGGAAAAAGGGTTCATTTTCTAAATGATCAAATTGGCTTGTAATAAGGGGTAAAAATTTTGAAAAAACTAAAAATTAAAAATTAATTTAAAATTATAGTATTTGATTTGATTTGGATGATTTGTTTTTATTAAGTTTAATATTATATATATATATATATGAGGTTGAATTATATTTTGAATAAAAAAATCAAAGAATTATATTTTTATTAATTTATATATTTTTTATAAATTTTTATAAAATAAAAATAATTATTTTATATTTAAATTTATTAAATATATCAAAAATTATATTAAAATAAAAATTTTAAAAATAAAAAATTTAATTTTAAAAACCAAAAATTGATAAAATTTAATTAAATTCAATTCATATCATATAAAAATTCAATTCAAATTCAAATTAAATTTTAAAAATTTATATATTTTCAAAAAAAAATTAAACCTAATTCAATACGAATAATTATGACTTTTGAATGTAAAATACTTTGATTCCTTCTTAGTCTTCTTGGATTCAGTTTTTTCATGGGTTTTATTGGTGGGCTATGTTGTTGTTTCTAGGCCCTTGGTCTTGCCACCACGAAGGGCAGCTTGGCCCTTCTTTTGTACTTAGGTCCCTCTAAATTATGGGTATAGTTTTTATTACAATCCCGAATACAGATTGAAATGCTTATTACCGGCATCCATGGAGTGCCGTATCTTTGCTGGCTATGGCAGGAAGAGAGTGTTAAGTACTAGTAAACCTCCATGAAGCATAGGACAAAGGCAATTTTAACTTGACTTCTGTTGGCCAAGCATTGCCTTGTCAAATAATAATTTGAAATTTCAACTGCCTTCCTTGGCTTTATATGGGAATTTGTACAAGAAACTCCTACCTTAATTCATGGAACTCTGACGTAAAAAGGGCAGCAAATGTAGACAGGACAGCCCATTGCTTGGCAATCAAGGTTTCTCTGTGTTTTTTTTACCAAGTCTTTTGCCTTTTGATATTAACAGTTGTGGAAATTGTTGCATATGGGGTGACATATCTAGTGGCGTCATCAAGTTGATTGTAAAACCTAATCCAGATTCTGGATATGACAAAAGTTTCTTATATATATACACTATAAAGATCAGTTACAGTCATCTGTCTCCTACAGCTTTCACTTGTTGCTTTTTCAGCTGTACACTTAAAGAGAGGCATTGATTTAATAACAAAAGAACCCTAGAAAGGAACAAAACGGAAAACATGACTGAGGAGCAGCAGTGTGTTCAGATGCCTAGAGTGAAACTGGGAACTCAAGGGCTTGAGGTAACATGTTTTGTTCTCCAGTTGCATAGCTATGTTTATGAGCTGATATGCTTTCAATTCTGATAAACTTTTACAACTGTTCCTAAGCTTTCAAGTTTTAATCTCTTGAAAACATGCTTTTTGCTCAAACTCAACATTTTAAACTAAATCAGAGTTTAACTTTCAATCAAATTCACATCATTTTCGTGCTCAAAACAGTATCTCCCTGTCATTTCTGTTGTAAACTCTATTATTTGGTAGGTCTCCAAGTTGGGATTTGGCTGTATGGGACTATCCGGATTCTACAATGATCCTGTTCCTGATAATGTTGGTATATCAATCATCAAGCACGCATTCGACAAAGGAATCACTTTCTTTGATACATCAGATATCTATGGACCCCAAATTAATGAAATATTGGTTGGAAAGGTAACATATTTGTCGGAATACCAGTAGAGTATTACGCTTTAGAGTTGAATTGATAATTTGATATGATTTCATTAAGTACTTGCTTTATTTCACTTGTATTGTAGAAGCAATTCATCAACCCGTAAAAATCAATATCTTTTCAGGCATTGAAGCAACTACCGCGAGAAAAGGTACAGTTAGCCACAAAATTTGGTATTGTAAAAGTGGATGCTGCAGCTGGTTTCATAATAAATGGTACACCTGAATATGTCCGTGCCTCTGTCGAGGCTAGTCTGAAACGCCTTGATGTGGAATACATCGATCTCTACTATCAGCACAGGATCGACACCAAAACACCAATAGAGGATACTGTAAGTGCTGTAATATACCATAAAGCATCCTATATTTCCTTTGTTAGCTGTCTGAACTTAAAAATAAGGTATTTGTACTTGTTTCTGTCTTAGATGGGAGAACTCAAGAAGTTGGTGGAAGAGGGAAAAATAAAGTACATTGGTTTATCTGAAGCAAGCCCTGAAACTATAAGGAGGGCACATGCTGTTCATCCCATCACTGCTGTACAGATGGAGTGGTCGCTCTGGACTCGTGATATTGAGGAGGAAATAGTCCCCCTTTGCAGGTTTCCTCAAAAACCCACATTGTTCTTGGTGAAAAATAATATATTGAATCATTAAAAGTATAGGTTACCTGTTAGAACTTTGTTTTTGATGTTATATTGTATTTCTTATTGTAGTAAAGGTGAACTATCCTATGTTACCCGTTGTTTCAGAAATTGTGCCTTTTACTTCTTGAGACCAAGACATGAGAAATACCTAATTAAATGTGTTCCTGTAATGCAGGGAACTTGGGATTGGGATAGTTCCATATAGCCCTCTTGGTCGTGGTTTCTTCGGTGGCAAAGCAGTTGTGGAAAGTGTGCCTGCAAATAGTTTTCTGGTATGGAAACTCATTTATTTATGTCTTTAATCTATTCTCAATCTTGCATAGATGCAAGCCTTCTAATTGGTAAAGGTAACTTCTTTTTTAAGACACATCACCCGAGGTTTCAAGGAGAAAACTTGGACAGAAACAAGAACTTATATTTGCAAATAGAGAAGTTGGCTCAAAAGCATGGATGTACCACTTCACAACTAGCACTTGCCTGGGTTCTTCATCAAGGTGATGATGTGGCACCTATTCCTGGTGAGTCACATGTTCTATTTTCAACATCCATTTTACTCTCTTTGATAGCAGGCAATACCAGATATTTCAACAACATCACAGCAGAATTCACATCATTTGCCTTGTCTGTTCAGATGTTGCATTAAAAACATGACTTTTGAACCTTGTTTTCACGTTCTTATAGGAACAACCAAGATAAAAAATCTTGACAGCAACATTGATTGTCTAAGAGTGAAGCTCACAGAAGAAGATTTAAAAGAGATTACCAATGTGATTCCCATCAACCAGGCAGCGGGACCTCGAACACTAGATAGTTTTTTACAGGTCTCATGGAAATTCGCTAATACACCCCCAAAGGACAACAAGATTTAAAGTAATTAGGGATGCATGGTTATGCCTGCAGCAGAATATGATGCATCTGGTCCATGGACTCTCCGGCAACTGAAGCCATTAAAGGACTAGAAGTTTGCATTGATAAGTTACTAAGCTTACATAAAAAAATATATAAAAAATAAGAAAAAAGAAAAGAAAGAAGGGTTCAGTGAATGCAGTATCCATAAATAGGCTAATACTGTTTTAAACGTGTTAGACACAAAATAAACATACATGAATTGCGAGGTTTAGCTACCTACTTGGCTGTTGAATGCATGTACTTGTCTGGTTTTTCTGTATGTGCTTAGTTACCAGCAATCTTGCTCAGGATGCTAGTTTAAGAATGTTTGCTTTACTTGATGCTATTTATTCTTCTTCATCTTTGCTTTTCTCTCTTTACAACTTGCTGCAACCATATATTACAAACCATTGCATCAAATGGAAGAAAATTTATGGCAAAGAAAATGAAAAATTATAAAAAGCACCATTGTGTAAAATGCCAAAAAAATTACAATGAAAACAATCAGATGAACTGGAAGACTGAAACAACAATTGGATGTAACAGCTGATGAAGTCACATAAATAAAACATTTTTCAGAATTCAGGTAAACAGGATGTTCTATTTTTTTCATCCGAGTCTTTTAAATGGTAAAAAAGAATAAAAACGAAAAGATAAACAGTGTTATAGTGTCCCAAAACATAAGGGTTCGTCCATCTTTCTGTCTTTCCCTTCAACTCCTTTCAGGGTCAATGCTCCTCAATCTTCTTCAATCCCTTCATGTCTGTCGTTTCCACCCTGCAATACAAACAAAATATGAACAGATTTTACATTGAATATATCTACAACGTAAGCTGGATTGTCTGGCTTCTGCAATAATGAGGGGAAATGTAAATGGATACACCTAGGATGGTTGAAAACTAGGGGAGAATAATTCATTACAGTTTTACTTGTTCTTTTATTCTAATCCCTAAGCCAATCATTATGTTGTGCATTGAAGATAAATGTATATCATTAACCTGAAATAAAATATCGGGGACACTGGGAGAGATTGAAAATTACACAACTACACTAAAAGTTGGCATGATGGGATGAACTTGGTAAATATAAATTGTTGTTTCTTCATGCAGGAAATGTATAGAAATCTATTTTAAAAGTAAACTAAATAACTTTGACAGGGCATCCACTAGAAATAAACTTATAATCAAAGGGCGAGTCAACATTTTAAGTTAAGACCAAATGGTACTCTTAATGCTGAAGGTAAGAGTATGTAACTCATTCAATGGCATTAAAGATGAGAACAAGATAAAGATCCGAGACAATTAAAGCCCAAAGCCTAGACCTAGAACTAACTGGAAAGATGTATAAACCCAACTAGCATAGCATCCAACAGAAGCAACAAAGCAAAAAAATCCTCGAGGTAGATATCCTTGCCTCTAAAGTGATCTCGAAGCTCCTAGTTTCATCTAGTTGCTAATATGCAAAAGGGACAGGATATGCCCTAACAAATTATGTTCACATTATGCTCTGCTTTGCTAGATCAATAGTTTTAGGCAATGCAAACAAGCTCTTGGTTCAAGTAATTTTAGAAATTTGAAAGTTCTGGTGCAAGCAAAGCCAATTTGGTTACACAAGTATTACTCTTTTTCCTTACTAATAAGCTTCAAAGTACTTTGAAAATGAGTTCATAAGTCACCAAAGCATAAGTTCATGCCTTGAACAATATGTAAATCATAAACATATCTCTTGCATACAAAGCAAGGAACCACGATATTCAAATTTCTAGGTGAAGGACACATCAGGGCACATTGTGATTGTAACACATGACATAAAATAATGTAGAGTACTAGGAACTAAAACTATTAAAAACTTACGTTGACCCATATAAAGCAATCATCTGAATTTTTGTGGTTTCAGAATCCGACTGATTGTCTTCAATAAATATTGTCAAGCTGGTAAACATAATAAAGTAAAATTAACACTGATTTACTTAATGTTATATTAAAGACTAAATGAAGCACATCAGTGCACAAACTATTAACATACCTACGAACATTCTGAAACTTGACATACTTCAAGACTACTGGTCTCCCCTACAAATAAGAAAAAAAAAAGAGTGAAATGATTTCTTTAAATATGCTTATTACAGAATAGTTTCCTGACAATGGAAAGACAAACGGAGATGAGGTACCTTTAGATTATCTGGGGATAAAACAGCAGTGTCACTTGGGGGGAAGTCATTGACGTTACTGCAGTAAGTAAAATGAAATACCATCAGTAAAATGATGTGCCTAAAATTGCAAGAACGTAATAAATCCTTCAACATTACCTGAATCCCATATGTTCCTTGTTTGTAAAAAGTTTCACCGTCTTTGGACCTGAAAAGACAACCTTCATCTTAAAATACTACAACAATCAACAGTCTCAAACGTAATTCTACTAGGGAACAATTTGAAGCAAATATTCATCAACCGAATAAGTCAAATAGAATTCGGCTTCAATGTGATTGAGTTCAAGCTAAGATGCATGAATATACACATAAGTAAAGATTTATTTAAAGGTAAACATAAACAAAATTTTACCTTCCTCTTCAGATCCCTTGATAACAATAGCATGTAGTTTAATGACTTGAGTGAAAGGAACATAGATCAGAAGTTGTTCATCTGCATCACTCTCTAGATTCAAGCCTTCATCTTCTCTATAACCCTAATTCATGAGCATAAAAATTAATTATTTCATGACACCACAATTCCCACAAAAGCAACTTAGGTTTGGCAAGATAAATACATGACCTTTATATTGGAAAATAAAATAAAGTAACCCCTAAAATGCCACTGTTTTGAAAAAAGAACTTCCATTAAAACCATGATTTTTCCACACAAAAAAGTAAGCTTGTCTCTTTAAATTATTCAATAACAATTGACAATAATAACAAATGACAGTCCACTATTATTAAAGGGAAAAGGGAAGCAGAGAAACAAGAAATAGCTTGAAGAGAGTTACCTGCTTGAGTGCATTGGACAGAGAATGACTGGAGCTTTGATTAAGGCATTCAACTCCAGACCAATCAATAAAGTCCAAGAGATCAACCTATCCATCAAAGAACAAATCTCAATCAAATTCACAAACTGTGCTTTAAAATGTACATATAAAGCGAATCTTTTCAATTACCCAAAACAAAACTATTGGAAAAGAATAAAAAAACGAGTCTTTTTCAAGCAAAAACACCATACAAAGGACACCCAATTTCCAGATTCCTTGTTTTCCCAACCAAATTTCTCAAGTTTTTCTCGGAAACCAAACAAGGGTATCCAAAAAGGAAGAAACTATGAAGATTTGAAGACTCACTTGGCTTCTTTGAATTGCAGTGGTTGATTCAGCAGCAGACATGGTATACGAGGTTAATGAGATTGCTGCGATTGAAATTTTGTTTTAAGGAAAAAGACGCTGCAGAGAGAGACGGTGGAAAGTTCGAAGTAGAAGGGAGATGTTAAGACAGACTTTCATAGGCCCGCTATTATGGATGAATCCTAGGAAAAGACGAAACTAGAAGGATGTGCTACGTTGCCGTTTAAGAGGAAAGTCACGTCTTTGGTCGGATCATTAAAGGACAAATCTTTAACGAAGTTGGATTTTGAGAGCTTTGCTGATCGAACCAAAGGCCCAACACCTCTCTTAAACAAAACAAAGCAACAAAATTTCACCAACCAACAAAATCATCCAACCAAGTGGCCAACCAAACTTCAGAAGTCCCTTTTGCTATCCTTCCATTCCATCTTTAGCCCAAAGTTCACCTAACACCAATAGAACAACACAGACCAAACCAAGCAAAAACCAGCCACTGGCCACAACCCTTCACCAAATCATTCCAACTTCCAATCGCCCCATTTTCACTCGTTTCCTCCCATTCACCAAAAACCAATGGCCTCCTTATCCCTTCAACTCTCCTCCCTCCACCACACCTCCACCATCCCTCTTGTCCTACGCGCCACCCCTCGTTACATACGCACCCCAACCCAGAAACCATTCTCCATCAGGTCCCAATCCGCCCCAGTCCTTTCCCAAGATGATCTCAAAAAACTTGCAGCTGACAAAGCAGTTGAGTCAGTCAAGTCAGGCATGATCCTAGGCCTAGGAACAGGCTCAACAGCAGCTTTTGTAGTTGACAAACTTGGACAACTCCTTACCACAGGTCAACTTTCTAACATCATAGGAATCCCAACCTCAAAAAGAACACAAGAACAAGCTGCATCACTTAACATCCCCTTATCTACCCTTGACATGCATCCCCACATTGACCTTGCTATTGATGGTGCTGATGAAGTTGATCCTAACCTTGACTTAGTTAAAGGCCGAGGTGGTGCACTTTTGCGTGAAAAAATGGTTGAAGCAGCTTCATCTTCCTTCATTGTAGTAGCTGATGATAGTAAGCTTGTTTCAGGGCTTGGGGGAAGTGGTTTAGCTATGCCTGTTGAAGTTGTGCAGTTTTGTTGGAAATATAATTTAGTTAGACTTGAAGGGTTGTTTAAAGAGTTGGGTTGTGAAGCAAAGTTGAGGTTAGTAGGGGATGGTAGTGAAAAACCATATGTAACTGACAATGGGAATTATATTGTGGATTTGTTTTTTAAGAATCCAATAAAAGATGGGTTTGGAGCTGGGAAAGAGATTTCTGCCTTGGAAGGTGTTGTGGAACATGGGTTGTTTCTAGGTATGGCAACCTCTGTTATTATTGCTGGGAAGAGCGGTGTGGAGGTTATGACTAAGTAATAAAGAAAGTGTGTCTGTGAGAAAGAGAGAGGTGAGTTGGAAGTTTGATGTTTGAGGGGATTTTAATTACTGTGTGGGGTGATTTGTTGCAAAATTTTTGGATTTTGATGCTTGTAGAGTAACTGTAGAATGTGCAATAATTGGGGATTTTGGAAATGAAATTGAATTGATCAATGATTATGCAGTTTTATTATTCTTCTTATTGTCTATTTTAGTTTCCATGTTAGATTGTAGTTGTTTCTGACAATCTTCAGTTATGGTTTTTTTTATGGCATCATTATGTTGTTTGTTATTTGATGTTTGAGGTACTTTGATGGTATAATTTGTTGCCAAATTTTGGATTTTGATAATGTGTAGATTAATTGTGGAATGTGGAATAATTAGCATTTGGAAATGACCTTAATTGCTTAATGCTTGTATTGTTATGTGGTTTCTGGAATGGCATAAATTGGTTTTCATGTTAAATTGTGGTCATTTATTTCTGAATTTATTATGAATATCAGTAATGAAACATTGAATATGAGCCCAGGAGCATATGACAGGACATTTTCAGAATGAATTTGTTACAATTGCCCCAGATTTGTTGGTGTCTACCTTTCCATCATGTCATCATCTAAGATTATAGAAATGAAAACATGGTGAATCTTTAAATTAAGAAGCCTGACTTGGTTGTCTTAAATACTGTGTTTCAAGGCTGTAAGAAGTTCTTTGGTATCTGCTGTTGTGTAGGAAATGTGGCCATCTACTCATTGTTTGCAAGTTTTGCTTAACTGTTTTGTTTATCAATGCTTTGGTTCATTAGCTGAGAAGATTGAACAATCAAGGTAAAGGCATCTTGAATTGATGAGGCCAAAATCTCTGACAGTGGCGTTAGTAGCCATACAGTAATATAAAGTCAAAATGTCACATGTTCTTTAGGAATTAGGGTCTTAGATCAGTAAAACATTAAGGGTTCCTCATATAAGCTACTGGTATATGTCCGATGAGAGTAAGGGTAGTCATTATTTATGGACAATGGAGATCGACGAGATGGGGGACCTGAAAGGTCAAGGTGGAATCTTTTGCTAGACAAACTTCGATCCTAGTGTATCTTATGTCATTTTTCTTCTCTTTTTCAGGAGACATTGAATGATGGATGAAATAGAGATAGTGTTATGTGACTTAGTCTGAACTCAGAATCAGTTGAAAATGTGAACTCTGAGGCTTTACAAGCAACTTTTATGATGCTTTGAAGTTTATGTAACTGTTCTTGTCATTTCTTCAACTGCAGCTTCCTTTTGTTTTGACTGGAAAACTTCAGGAGCATTGATATTTGTTTCATGGTTCATTCTAAACATATGTCTGGTAAAATTTGATGTGCAAACCAGCATATAATTGAAGTTCTGTGAGAATTGGGGATTGTTAGAATAGGAGATACAACCTTGATTAAGTTTCTCAATATTGCTCAAGGATTTTCTTTTTTTTTAAACGTCAAAGATGCTTATTAAATGGTTTGAACTGTTCAGTTTTTTTCTTACAAATGAGGTTGTAGCCTGGAACTAGAAAAAAGGATTGTAAGTGCTGAAATTTGAATCTCAAACTTGTTGGATGCCACCTTTTAAGGGTGGCTGCACGAACCAATTGAGCTAAATTCCGAGTTCTTGAACTAATCAATTTCCTTGTGCCTACATCCACTTTAGTTAAGCCATTGACATATAGTTTATTTAATTAAGAATGCAAGTATTGGCTTTCAAAGATGGCTGTGGGACAAAATGATATATCAGTATCTTGTTGTAAAGTATGGAATGAGACAACTAGAAATTTAGATGGCAATGGGATTTAGTTTTCCCCTCTCCAGTTACTGGGGCATAGTTAAGCCTAAAGTTGAGATTACTTAACAGGGATCACATCTAGCTCAGAATCAGTTACATATGCTCAGCGTATTTGCACCATGTTGTAGTTTTAGTCGTGCCATTATTGTTCTTAGCTTGAGTTCCAAGAGAGAAAAAAACAAGTTTGGGATATGGGATGGGTCGTACAGGGTTAATTTTTGATTGGGGATAGAACATTGGTGCTTGAGACAAACTAGTTTATTGACAAATAACAAAAAAATAATAGGAATGCCACCAGTGGTGTGACTCTTGGCAGAATAATCAAATCAATAATGCGTCAAATATCTGAGTATAATCGACTCTAGTACGATGATAGTAAAGCCTGGTGAGCTGAGGGAATGATTTATTTCACATATCCTACTTCCATTGAACCATAGCCATGGATATCATCAAAACAGCCGCCCAATGAAGCTTCCCTGGCAGGAATTTTCTAGCTGAAAAACAAGATACAGAGCAAGAAGTTGAAACAGAACTCATGTCATCGATTGGTTTTAGTTTAATTTGTGTATACACGAAATTATCATCTTCATTCACGAGGCTTTTTTGTTTGTTTGTTGAAGTAATCAAGTGATGAAGGAGGAAAGCTATGTTGTAGATATCAATTTTCATAACTTTTTCCATATATTTGGAGGGATTTACATCAGTAAACTGATGATATTGTGTGTGTGTGTGTGTGTGTGTGTGTGTGTGCGTGCGCCTTGATGTTTAATCAGATTAGAGAGTTTTGCACAGTTAAATCACCTTTTCCACCTGGCGGTGTTGATTCAGGGAGCAAAAACCATCAGTTTCTTAGAATTTGTTGCTCTTACAACTTAATTCTATAATAATGTAAGCCCAATTCATTACTTCAACCCATGTGCAAGCCCATGTTCTTTCACAAATCAATCACAACAGCTGATCGTGCGAGGCGACTGTGTATGGCATTTGCACACAGCATCATGTGAAGATCCCCCTCCCTTCGACCTCCTCCTCCTTCTTCTTCCCTTTCCTTAAATATTTGGTCCCAGTCTCTGCATGTTTTCACGTGTCCTGCTGCCATCCCCATTGCCGTCTAATGACAGCATCATCTCCATCAGCTACTGCATAGGATTCTAAGGACCCAACAAAAATAATACATACTCGTTTATAAAGCATCCTTTTCCAACCCGCCTACCCTTGTTGGTTGTTTCCCTCACTTCCATGCCTGGCAACTGGATCCCACTTTTTTTCCCACACTGATTGGACAGTGACTTCACTTGCCACCAAAAGGGTGTGGTGAGTTATCTTCTCTCCCATGATAGGACAAAATCATTGATAAATGAGAGAGAGAAAGAGAGATCAGATAGAGAGAGAAAGGGCATTGATGTTTTTGTAGTCTTTGTTTTGTTTTTGCAGCAACTTTGAGCCCCCAATTTTTACAGTGTGACCAAACCAAAAGCCCAGAAAGACACAAAAACACAAGACACACTTCACTCATAAACACAAGAAAAAAAAATGTTTGATGGAGTACCAGACCAGTTTCACCAATTCATAGCCTCAACAGCAGCAGCAGCAAGAACCACAACTCTCCCTCTCCCTCTCTCTTTCCCTCCTATCCATAATCTTGCTTCTTCAAATGGATTCACTTCCTTTGACCCTTTGTTCACTTCAAACTCCCATCATCACCAAGTGTCCCCTCAGCTGCAGCAACCTCATTTTTTGCACCCATTGCACCACCAACATCAACCAGGCCAGAAGAATGAAGAAAAAGAAGAGAACACCAGATTGGTTACTATGAACATGGAGATTGACAGAGAGAGATCCATGTCTGACCCGATTGATAATCATCTTCCCTGGTCTAATGATGAAGTTCTTGTACTGTTGAGGATCAGATCTAGCATGGATAATTGGTTCCCAGAATTCACTTGGGAAAATGTCTCAAGGTATTGATATAAACTTCATATTCAGTTTTGTTTGTTTGTTTTCTAATATGTAGAGTCCCTTCAAAATTTGCCAAATTGGGTTCCAACTGAATTGATCTCAAGCTGATGAAGCTTGATCAATGAAACAATCAAATTGAATATTAAAGCGTCTACATGAGTTTAGAGCCCAGCTACCCATGTGGGGATACCTTCACTATATTTATATTTATGTCCAAAACCTTGTATAGTATTTTATAAGTGATGAGTATAGTAAAATAGAAAGAATTAAGTCTTTCATGTATAACTAGGTGGCAGTTTGTTGGTTTTAATTTTATATACAATTATGGTGGGTGCAGGAAGTTGGCAGAGCTTGGGTTCAAGAGGAGTGCAGAGAAATGCAAAGAGAAATTCGAAGAAGAAAGCAGATATTTCAACAGCATCAGTTGTAGCAAAAACTACAGGATTTTTAGTGAACTTGAAGAGCTTTGTCAAGGTGAGAATCCTCCTGATCATCAACATCATCATAGACAGCAGGTTGTTGCAGCTGAAAAGAACAAAAAGGTGGAAAAATCAAGGGAAGATGAAGACAATATTGGTCAGAATTTGGAAGATGATCCAAGAAATATTGATGAATATCAAACTTCAGCAGGAAATAATGCATCATATCAGGATAATGAAAAAGTGGTTGAGAACAAAGCAAACAATAACAAGGGCAGCAACAAGGAGAGGAAAAGACAGAAGGAATTTGAGATGATCAAAGGGTTTTGTGAAGATATTGTGAACAAGTTGATGACTCGACAGAAAGAGATGCATAACAAACTGATTGACGATATGGTGAAGAGAGATGAAGAGAAGGTTGCAAAAGAAGAAGCTTGGAAGAAACAAGAGCTGGATAGAATTGACCAGGAGCTTGGACTTAGAGCAAAAGAGCAAGCTGTTGAAGGTGATAGACAGGCTACCATAATCAAATTCTTAAGTGAATTTTCATCAGCTGGCTCCTATAAAAAGCAATGCTTTGGAAGGAGTAATATTGAAGATCTTGTTAAGGTACCAAATGAACATTCAAATCCTCCTAATAATTCATCATCTTCTTTAGTGCCAGCAGCACAAAACCCTAATCATATTGTCAATAACCAAAACAAAGTTGATCAAGTTTCAACCATGATCATTGGTCATCAAAATTTTGGTTCTTGTCCAACTCGAAATAATCAAATCAAACCCATCTCCATGGCAGAAAACCAAGCCCCTCAAAACCCTAATCTAAAAATACCCACTTCATCAGCACAAGCCTTAGCTCCCCAAAACCCTAATTCTGTCAATGCTCAAAGCAACCCATTACCACCCACTTCACCATTTACAGTAAACAAAGCAACCCAAAACCCTACACCCAATGACAAAGAAGACTTTGGAAAGAGATGGCCAAGAGATGAAGTGTTGGCATTGATAAACCTGAGGTGCACTCTTTACAACAATGGCTATCATGACAAGGTAGGGTCAACCATTAAAGCTCCTTTGTGGGAAAGAATCTCACAAGGGATGTTAGAGTTGGGGTATAAGAGAAGTGCAAAGAGGTGCAAAGAGAAATGGGAGAACATAAACAAGTACTTCAGAAAAACCAAAGATGTTAACAAGAAGCGGTCCCTTGACTCTAGGACATGTCCTTATTTTCATCAATTAAGCACTTTGTACAATCAAGGAACACTTATAGCCCACCCTGAAGGGCTGGAAAACCGCTCTGCATTACCGGAAAACCACTCGGATTTGCCAGAAACCGGTATCGATTCATCTCAAAAAGGAGCTAAGAATTCAAGTACCAGCTTTTGAATTGATTGAATTCTGAATCACATTACATTTTTGTGTGTATGCTAAACTACTAGTATTATTATAGTTTTTTTTTTCAATTTATTTGAAGGACTAGTATTATTATAGTTAATAACATTAGAATTAATAGTACTTTTTTGGGTTGATATTTGATTTTTTTTTTCTTAGAGAATCTAATATGAAATTTCTTGGAGGATATATATGTTTAGACTTGTATTGTAGTGAGCACCGACAATCTGGGAAATGAGGATTTAATTTCAGGTCAGGGCTGCTTTCATTTTACAATTGCTATATTATATATGCTCCTAATCAATTTCAAGAGAGGTTTGTTTGCTATATGTGGGGAGGAGGGACAGTGTTCAGGGCCAGTTCACTGTTTTTTGCCATATAAAATAAAAAAAACAATGCAGAGTTGCTGGAAATTCACAATCATGCTAAATATATTTAAATTAGATTTGGGATTCGTGTATAAAATATTAAATTTTATATATTCGTATTATATTTTATACAAAAATTAAGTATCATAATTCATATCAATATAAAAATATAAAATATATTTTTTATTTTATTAAACTCATATATAATTATTATTAAAATTTTAAATAATCATTTTTGTGTCTTTTAATGATATTATGTTCGTGTTATATTTTATATTAACAAATCTACTTTGAATATATATATTCATATATATTTGCTTTTGCCACTCTAAATTTTTTCGAAATGTGGGTATTTTACATACGAGTTAATATATCTATAATAATCATTTTGATACTAATTTAAAACTTGAATTTGAAAATTGCAAATCTTGGTACGTAATATCAACGATGAATTGATGATGAAAGGTGAACTGAAAATTATTAACAAAAAAATTATGGTTTTAATCTTGAAAGTTTGAGAATATAAAAAAAATTAATTGAATCATATATTTAAACAAAACCTATACCATTAAAAAAATTAGCTTATTACATATGAACAAATTATGGGTTAGTATCAAGCTGAATTACCATATAATTATTGTTATAACATTGATAAAAGATTTATGATAGTAGTAATGACACAATTTTAATTTTTTTACTAAAACTTTATTTAGAGGGTGATATAAAGAGATTTTCAACACGTCATTATATTGTTTTAGAATTGGTTTAATTACGATATGATAACACGATAAAAATTTTTATAATAAATGTGATTAATTTCAAAATAACGAGACAATGCGATGAAAATTACTTTTTACTTGATGTGATGGCATGGTAAAAATTTATTCACATCATGCAAATGAAAAATAAGCTTGATTATTTCATAAGCTCAAAGATTACATGGTTTTTTTTTTTTTACCACAAAATTACATGGTGAATTTCTTTGTTTTTCCTTATGATAGCTAGTCAATTTTGTTTATATTTATTGCACAATATTCCAACCATGAATTTATTTTTTCAAAATTTCAAATTTGTAAGTAAAACTGATAATTTAAAATACAATAAAATAATATGACATGAATATGATACGAAAATAAAATATGAATATGATACAACTTAAATTTTAGCAATAATTATATATAAATTTAACAAAATTAAAAATATATTTTTTATATTTTCATATTAATACGAATTATAATACGTAATTTTTATATAAATATATAATATAAATATATAAATTTTAATATTTTATATGACATGAATATATGAATCATTAAATCTATTTGTTAAAAACAAAATAGCTACTTATAAAATAAAAATATTAGGAAAATTTGTATAAATGTTCAAATCTTTAAATGAACATTGGAGAAAATCTACATAAGAGTTGAATTTTTTTTTTTCTGACCAAAAAAATTTAATTATTTTTTATAAATTCTTTTGTTTTCTTGTTCCTACCATGAGAGATTACAACGACAACACAAAGGCCATGACATAATGTTTCTGAAGGGTTTTGGGGACCCATCACATGACCAAAATGTAAGAGAAAATGGCATTTTTATAGACATACAGTGAATGTATTTTTTTTTTTTTTTTTGTGACACGTCAATGTCACATGTGATGGCCTGAATCAATAATAGCCAGCTATCATGTACAGCCAAGAAAGATGGGCTGGCACACGTGCATCCTGTGGGGGTCCACTGATCAAACGGTTCAGAAATAATTTGATCATCATAAACAAAAGTCAACTGGAGAATTTCATGTATAATTACAATTAATCAATTATAGTTGAACATTAGATATGATTTATACAAAAATTATTTAAATTTTATACTTTTAAGTAATAAATTCTTATATAATTTTTTAATTATAATTGACTAAAAATTAGTTTAATATTATAATTGCAATTGAAAATTTTAAGTTGTAAAAACTGCATTTAAAAAATTTGATGAGAAAAATGTGATTAGAAATTTTAAGTGTTTGTTATTTTTTAGAAAAAAGTATTGTAAATAATTAAAATATTTTTAAAAAATGTATAAAATAATCATATATTAAAAATATAGATATAATAAAGTGATTTTTTTTTTCAAATACATTTTTCATCACAAAAGTATATTTTGAGAAAGTTTTTGTTTGATTTTTTTTATTGTTTAACATTGCAATAATTTTTAATGGAAAATTTATTTTTAACAATAATACTAAAAGAAACCTAATTTTAATATTATAATAAAAAATTATAGGCAAAATACTTTCAACATTAACATGTTCAAATTGTGATTCCTATTTTCATTATTATTGTTTTTTTTTTTTTCATCATTTTGACTTGGGTCTTTTTTGTTCTTTTTTTTCTTAGCATCTTGACAGTCGCAAAATGATTTTTTGTGGAGAGTTTGACTTATACTAATTATGTGAATTTTTTTTAAGAATTTATATTTAATGCATGGTTAGTATATAAATTTTATATATTATAAGTAAATCAGATAATATTGTTTCATTAATGAGATTAATCTGATGATAGCATCTCATTAATGAATAAATATTTCAAAAAATATTAATTTTTTGTATATTTACTTTAAGAATTGATATTTATTCATTAATGAGTCAATTAATCGAATAATATCACTTCATTAATTAAGTGAATCAAATAATGATACTTTATTAATGAGTAAGTATGTTAAAAAATATTAATTTTTATATATTTAGGCTATTGTTTGTTCATTAATAAAGTGTATTATCAAATTTATTGATAATATATAAAATTTATGCATTAACAATGCATTAAATATAAACTAATATTTTTTAAATTTTGACTTAAAAAATGAATGAGATAAAAAATACTAATTATATATTTTTTTAAAAATAATTAAAGTTAAAACGTTATAAAACTTGGATGAAAAATCATTTTCATGCATTGTGAAAAGAAATAAACTAATAAAATTAGTAAGAGATTGAAAAATATTTTCTTTTAGTTTGGGATCTTTCGGTGTTTGATAGTCATTTTATACCTCAACTAATGCAGAATCGAATCAGATCGGACCTTATAAAGAGAGCAAATTCTTCTAACACTTATTTTTTTCATTCACAAAACTCAAAACCAATACCTTAATTAAGTAAAATCGAGCTCCTTAGCTACTCGGACCAATAAGCATTAGTGAGTGAAAAATCTTTTATATTTATTTTGTATGGATTATCAATTAATGCATGAATTTGTATTTCATTACCTCTATATTGTCAAATCTTGAATCACAAGTCATAAATATAGTAAGAGGGGACCAAAAGTGAGATAGAAACTTTTTTTTTTTGGATTTTCGATGTTCGATAGCTACTTTAGACTTCAATTAATCTGGAATCGAGTTAAATTAGATCTTATAAGAGGAGTAAACTCTCTTAGTGTGATTTTTTCATTCATAAAACTCGAAATTAAAACCTTAATTAAACAAACCCAAACTTCTTATTTACTCGAACCAATAAACATTGGTTATTAAAAAATCTTTTATATTTATTTTGTATGGATTATGAATTGATGTATGAATTGGTGTTTCATTATCTCTATATTGTCAAATCCTGAATCACAAGTCATAAATATGGTAAGAGGGGACCAAAGTGAGCCTTTTCTATAAATAAGGGGAAAAAAACTATTTTTATGTCTTTTTTCTATTGAAAGCATGCATTTAAATTTTGTATTCATGTGAACAACACATTTTATGTCAGATGTATGCTTTTTAAATGAGACGTGAAAATAAAAACCTAAAATGCAATCTACAAATTAATTTAATTGATAAAATTTTTTATGTTTATCTTAGAATTTGAGGTTAAAATAATTTTAAAATGATTTGATGATTCGGTTTCAATCGTTGTCAAAATGAAACTTTAAATTTTTATTAAAAAAAATTTGAAGATAAAAATAAAAATAAGGGAAGGTTGTTAGAAAGAGATTTTGGTGCAAAAGATTAGGTTGTCTCAAGCGTCACGGGTAAAGATATAATCGAATTATATTAAATTGATATAATATGAAGTTTGAGTTTGATTCAAAATTTATTATTCAAAATTAAACTTAAATTCGATCAAATTTTAATTTTTAAATTCGAATTCAACTTAAAAAAAAATAAAGTTACTCAAACTTATTTAATAAAAATGAATTCAATTATATTATTTGATTTCAAATTCAATTATATATTCAAAATCGAGTTCAAACTCGAATTGATATATATATATAAGTAAAAATAATTTTTTTAATTAAAATAAAAAATATATATTAAAATTTAAAATTTTTTATTAAATTTGTAAACTATTCAATTCAAATATTAAGATATTTGAATTTAATTTATTCGATAAATTAAATCGTTTAAATTTAATTTAATAATAATCAAATCGAATTTAAATTTTATTTAAATCAAATTTAAATAATTTATAAATATTAATATATTAATTATTTATACCTCTAATTAAATATCGAAACTCAAACTCGAAACTCTTACCACTTTTGAATTCAAGAATAGATTCTTTCGGATCCAAAATTAATCGAACTCTTGCTTATCTATGAAAGAATCCCTGAGCTTAGACAGTGCGCGGGTCATGACACAAGGACCAAGTCAGCCGATGAAAGGATAGTTCGGTTTGGGCTACCTCAAGGTGTAGGCCTAGGAGTACCTTTCCTAACCTTTGCAAAAGATAGTTGTACCTGTTAACTTTAGGGCCTTTGGGTTTTTTTCGAGCTTCTCTTTTATTGAGGAATTGCCAAGGATTTGATACCCAAAATGGCAAAGTCAGCCCAAATTCAAGGATTTAAAAAATTGTTTTGTTGTCCTTAAACAGCGCAGGTGTCAATTTGGTAAATTTCTG